AATTTTAAGAAAATTTTTAAAAAATTATTATAATAAAATTTTTAAAACTTAATTTTAAAAATTGAATTATTTAAAAACTTCTTAATAAACTTAAATTTCTTCTAATAAAGTTAATAAAATATATATTAAACTATATTTATTTATATAATAATTTATTATTAATATTAATATTTTATTTTTTATTAAAAAATTAATACATTTTTTTTATGTTTACAGGCAAATTTGCCTGCTCTGCAGTTTAAAAGATAGTTATATAATATTTATTAAAGTTAGAATTTAGATTAAGTTACTTTAGATTTGAATATAATTAGAATTAGAATTCAGTTCAGGCAATTGTTAAGTTAAATTAAAATATATTTGAAATATAATTGAATAGGTTTAGGCTAAATATGGATAAGTTTTAAGATATTATTAGAATATATTTAAATTTTATTTAATTTTATTTCTAATTTAATAGTATTATTTTTTAATTTACAATATTTTTATAAAATAATTATTTTTAGTTACGAATTTAATTAAAATTTTTTAATTAACGAATTTTTAAATTTATTTTAAAATACTTTTAATTGTTTAATTAAATAATTGTTTATTAAAATTGATTTTTAATATGATTTAATTTTAAAAAATTGCATTTTTTTAATTGATTCACAAATATTTTTTTTTATTGACAATATTTTCAATTTACTTTTAAAATATTGTATTTTTTTTAATTGTCTAATTAAATTATAATAATTAAATTTTTGATTTTTAAATAAAATAAAATAAATGAAATAATAATATAAAATTGAATCTATAAAATCAGATTATATTAAATATATGATTTAGAATCCAATAATCCAGAATTAGAATTTAGGGTAATTAATTTTCAGAAATTTTCATATTTACTAATATGTAATTATCAATAATATAATTATATTTAATTGATTTTTAATTATTTAATTTAATATTTTATTTTGTCTTTTGCAATATTTTATTTATTTTTTTTTGATTTTTAATATTTGTAAATTATTTTTATTTTTATTTTTTATTTTTAAATATATTAATTATTTTTTAATACTATTAAATTTATTTATTTATTTATAATCTGAATATACAGTCAACTCTATTATAATAAACTTTTTAGTTAGAATATTTTAGTTCATTATAGCCAGAATTTATTATAGAATACCTTTTCTGTATACTGAACAGTTTAGTATATAAAGTGAACTAATAAAATTATTGCTTTATTAAATTTAGTTTAAAATGATAAAACAATTTGTTATTTTTTATTTATGTTTCAAAATGATAAAGATCAATTTGTTTAGATTTTTACAGCCATTAATCTAACCTGTCTATATAAATTTCTTAAAATTTATTTCCTTATTAATTCTCCTGAATTCTGATTCTTGTTCATATAAAAACTTTAATACAAACTTCAGCTTTCTTTAAAGTTACCTTTTTTATTTCTTTTATTGTTTCATCTGTTTTATTGATAAATTCATCTATAAGCTCATCCTTTTCATTTGTTATTATCTCTAATATTTTTTTATCAGTAATTCTGCTTTCAAATTCATTATCAATACAGATATAATCATCTGCGATAAGATGATCATTTCCTGGTAAGTAGTTAATTAATTCTTAAGTTCTTGCATTTCATTTTCACTTAAAATAATAAATAATATTTAATTTATATATATATATTTTATTATTTATTATAAATAACAAAATATTAACATAGTTATCAGAATCTGGATCTGAAATTGGAAAGCTTGCTTCTTGTGAAAGGATATTAGTTTTTTACTAGCAATTTGCAATTGTTCTGGTGATACTATAGACCAAGCTTCTGCTGCATTAAGTAAGGCATCATAATCTGCAAGTTCTTGTATTATGCTATTTTGCAAATCATCATAAGTATCAATTTGATTTTTGATAAAAAGACGTTTGTAGTGACATTTAAATAAATGGATAATTCTAGTATCATAAGGCTGAAGAGCTGTAGTAGTATTTGATGAAAGAAATTCAACTTGCAAATTATCTAATTTTGCTCGAGTTTCATCAAGAATAATATGAACAAGTGTATTATCAATCAAAAGAATAATTTTTCAGTTTTTTTGTTTCATTTGGTTATTAAGTATAAGGAGAACTTCATTAAAGATACTAACTTGCATCCAAGTCTTTTATTTCAGAATAATGAATAGGAAGATTTTTATAATTAAGATTTCACATTGCATAGGATGTTTTATGCTGATAGATAAAAGTAAGATTCATTGTTTCAGTACTAATTGAATTTGTAGCACAAAGTATTGTAACTCATGCTTTTTCTTTTTTATGTCCAGCTGTTTTAAAACGGGCCAAAGTTTGAGAAGGTTCTATTTTTCAAAAAAGATCAGTTTTATCAGCATTTCAGATATCTTCAGGTTGATAAGACCTAAGTAGTTGTTGTATATAATTCTATCATTTTCTAGTAATTCAACAGGAAGAGTATTTGCAGATTCACCTTGTTTTTTAAATTGTCAAAGTCCATGTCATTTTTTAAACCCAGTAAGCCAACTATCTGATAGATTAAAATCATCAATATGAAGATTATTAGCAAAAAACTATGCTTTTATCTTAAGGATATGACCATTGATATCTTGATTTGATATAAGTTCACTATCAACCTAAAGACCACAAAAAAGTATTCTTTAAAATGCATCTAATACATTGAGGAGAATACTTTGCAGGCAAAATTTATAAATTTACCTATATATGGGATGGGATGCTTAAAATTTAAATAATAAAAATTCACAATAAACAGCCACCATTAGAAATCAGAATACAAATAATAAATTTCTTAGATTATATAAATTTAAATGATTTTTATAAAACTCATTTTTAAAAAAAACGCCCTATTTTTTTTTTAACCAAGAAATAATTTGAATATAACTTTACATAATAATAAAGTTTTGTCAATGTCTAACTGACTTACAGGAAAAAAGCTAGAGAGGGGGATGTCCAGTTCCTCTTCGGTTCTGCTTTAATTCTCCTAAAGTAATTAAAACTTTGAACTTTTATACAAATAGAACATGTGATGATCAAATAAAATTTTTTTTTGATTGGTTATCAAATAAATTCAGTTTGTAACTATTTTAATTTGAACCAGATTTTTAAAATTTGTAAAAATAGTTTGTAACTCAGGCAAACTAATATGTTTAATTTAGAATCATTTTAAAATTTGACTTTGAGTCGCTCTTTTTAAGCTGTTCTCATTCCTAATAATAGCATTAGATTACTTAATTTTTGTTGAAGTATTGCGCGGCTTTCTTTCTATTTTTTTTTATACTCAAATCAAATTAATTAATATAACTAGATCAGGTTGAGGTGCAGTGATTCTGTCACCGCTAAATGATCTTTTTTTTTAGGTATTATCTATTATACAAAATTTGATTTTTATAATTTGGAATTATTACTATATAATTCTTTTAATGTAGGAGCATCTGAAATTGGTTCTATTATAAATGTATAAATATTCTTTATTATTTAATATTTGAATAATTTGTCATTGATTTTTATTTTTATTTTTTTAATTTAATTTTATTTTTATCCCCCAGTCTTTTTGTTAATTATTTCTCCTCCGATCTTTTTAATTTTATCTTTTTTTTTATTATAGTTTTTATCCCCCAACCTTTTTTTTATTATTTTTTTTTTATCCCCTGATCGTTTATTTTTTAATAATTTTTTTTTTTATCTCCTGATCGTTTGTTATTAATTTTATTCTTTATTTTTATCCTCCGACTGTTTTATTTTTTTTTAATTTATTTTTTTATTCTTTTTTACTTTTAAATTTTTTATTTATTCGTCTCTCTATTCATTTTTTTTTATTATTTTTAATTTCATTTTTTTTGTTTAGTTTTATTTATTTTTAACTTTTAATTGATTATTAATAATAATAATTGCGAATTTTTAATATACCAAGACTTATTGTCCTCAAAATCTGAGACATTATCAGATATATTTTCTAGTAATAAACAATAGTCTAATCTATAAAATCATAAATCAAATTATTAACAGCTCTGATATTTATCATTACATGGTGATAAATTGTTATTTATTACCATATAATTCTGTAGTAATTAACTATTTATTACCAGATAACTTGTTTTATTTGTTTTATTAGTTCATTAAAATTTTTAAATTTTACAATTAACTTTTTAAATGTGTACATTGATGAATTCTATAAGAAATATCATTGCAATTACCACAAGAATGAGGATAGCTATATGAATTATGACCAGAAGTTTCTTTACAATTTTGATATTGCTTTTGTAACCTTTTATTTTGGTTATTTTCCTTTAATATCTCAATAGCTGATTTAATTCTTGCATGTTGTGAAGGTCTACTTTTAGTATAATTAATAATAAGTGTATTATTAATTTGAATTGGAAGTTTGGATTCAGAATTCATGTTTTCTCATTTTCAGTTAATATAGCATTAGGTTGAGTTTATTCAAGTTGTTATTCCATAGTTTTAATATATTATTCTATCTATTGAGCTGACTCTTTATCATTATTGTTAACTGCTAATTGCATTATATAATAAGCTAACCCATAAATCTTTCCATATTTATTTCTTTAAGATAAATGTTCTTTTTAGTTGGGTTGTATTTTAATTGTATTCTAAATTTGTTAAATATAACTAAATTATATATGCTTAACACATGTATAATGCTGTCAAATAGGCATCTGATAAGATGTCAATAGACTTGCTTATTATGCTATGGTAAGGTGCTGGTTGAAGAATATTGGGCTAAACTACTAGTTGCCTATTGTAAACAGATATTGTTATTATCAGAATGCAACTATTACCAATCAAAATGGAATATTAGGACTATTGGATATGCTGATTACTAAGGATTGGATAATTATAATTAGTATTAATGATAATATTTTTAAAAAATAAATTACAATCGAAACATATATTTATTTAAGTCTTTAACTGAATTTTGTACAAATCAAAATAACTGATTGGAGTGATTAAATAGTTTGTTTACAAGAAACATTGATCAGTTTATGTGTATTTCTCGTATTTATTGTAAAATAAAATGCCGGTTTAATAAAATTTACAAATTAGCTAAAAGCATACAATAAAATATTGCTAAAATTATTTATAAAAAAACAATTCTTCCGAATTTAAATTTTTGTACGTATATAATTATAATAAATTTCTAATTGTTCTAGCGAGACGCAGTATTATAATCAGTCACATGTTCATCTTATTTTCTAGGAATAGTATTTAACGAACGCTCTATGCAAACTGTTTGTACAGCTATTTTTAAAGAACCTTTATAGCCATTAACAATCCACCTTGGAGTCTAAAATAGTTCTGATGGTTCTTTATCATAAAAATTTAATATCATCATGAATTTGTGCTCGCTTTTTTAGAACTTTAGATGTTTCGATAAATATACGATTGATGTAATCGCATAAAAACAATCATAACTGCAAAATGAAGATTAAATTATTTTTATATTAGAATCTAAATAACATCAGTCATTAATCTTATTAATCTTACTGTTCTCGAGCGCCATTTTAAATCCTTCGTAAATATTTTCCTTCTACCGGAAGTATTTTTATCATCAGTCTCAGGAACTTCTGGCAAATAATAAACTGAATTATCTTTAATCAGCTGAAGTTCATTATCCTTGAACAAATTAACTAACGAATCTTCAATTGTTAACAAATGATCAATCAAGTTGGCCCTATTTATTCGTTTCTATAATTATAGAATGTAAAATTAGTAAATAGATAATAAGTAACATATTCACTACTCACATCGTTTCTTCTACTATTCAGATGCTTTCTTCTGGCTTGTTTATCTTGAATTGCAGAGGATTGTTATTTTTTTAGATGATCCTCTCTTCAATGTTTATGTCTATTATGTATCATATCATAGACAATAGATTCAGAAACTGGATACATTTTTGAATCTAAAGTTTTCATGACAGTTGGAACTATTGTACTGTTCACAAGTTTCCGTTGAGAATCGAACGTCTGATTTACTTTCAATTGACTTTGAGATAGCATCCTTTCAATGATCCAAAAAATTTGACGCTAGATATAAAAACGTTAATATGTATGTTTTATATTAGTGAAATAGAAACAAATGAAAATTACTTACTCTTAAGGCGCTTCGGAGATCATTTGGTAGGTCATCAATATGTAAATATTTCTGTTTAGCATCATTGTGAGTAGAACTCGAAGAACTAGAAACTGAGCGTGAAAAGCTTCGAACTCTAATTCTTGATTGGCTTCTGATTGGTGAAGTTGATTGCCTTTGAATATGTGATTGACTTTTTGATTGCCTTTTAACATGTGACTGACTTCTGCTTGGTCGACTTCAACTTCAGGTTGATCGAATTCGAACAGTTGATTGAGATTGACTTCGACTTCGACTTTGGGTCAGTCGACTTCAACTTCAGGTTGATTGAATTCGAACAGTTGATTGAGCTTGACTTCTTCAAACCCACGATTCTGGCTGATATTCCGAACTTTCATCTTCATCATTATCATTTTCATCCTCATCTTCATCTCGATTTATATCAGATGGACCTGGTGTTAGTTCTACTGGTTTTCCTATCTTTTCTTTTAAAAATTCTTCAAATAGATTTTGAATCTTTTCATCATGTAAAAATGAAGCAACTTGATCTGAAATATATGTCGATCATATATAAAAAGTGTTAGATATTATACCAAAGGCTATTATTCTGAAAGAACAAAGTTCAACTCATATTATAATGACTCTGCCTAAGGTTTTCGGGAAAACATCCTAGGAAAACGTCTTTTGAGAAAATGTGTGTAACTAAAAATGCTAATTGATAAAAAATTAAAACTTACCTTCATCTTGTTTCTCTTTCTCCACTTTATCATTATCGCTTTTGTAATATTTCTTTGAAGGTAATTCTTTATAATATTTTCCATCTGATTTGTAAGAATTAGATGATGGAGACCTATTTTGATGACTATAAGTATCAGCTTTAGTTATATGATTATTGAGAACAAATATATGATTATAACTTGACTTGCCAATTTATTTTATTATGCTTTCTATCTTTCTTATAATGGTCATAGTTTCTTGAGCTTCTTGACTGTTCATTTCTATCTTTAATGCGATTTTCATAACTTTTTGACTGTCTATCTCTATGTCTCTTATAGCTGCTTCAAGATCTGTTCTGATCGCATTCAAAATGAAAAAAAGAACCAGAGTGATGATGGTGAGTCATAATTAATATTAATAAAATGAAAATAAATTGATAGAGTTGTTTGTTCTTTTTTTGATTCAGTCTAAAGCAGTCCTTTTATATCTTTTAAAAAGTTTATTGAAAATATACCTTTTCACGTAAATTATCATTAATAGCTTATTCACATAGAACAATAAAATAACTTTTATTTATATATATACTATCACATTCATATAGGCAATCTAAAAAATTATTAGCATAAGTACAGAATATAATTAACCAGAATAATTAATAGCAGTAGTTTAAAGATTAAAATTAATTTTTCGCTTTAAATAAAGTTTTATGATATTTTATAACTGACACATAATTTTTTTGATATTCTATATTTTTAAAATGACTAAATGTAAAGTTCAAACAGTATCAACATTTAAAAGACGTACAAAAGTTCGAGCAGCATCAACAACTAAAAAATATAAAAAAGATAGTTCAAAAGTACTATGCTAATGTAAAATGTGTGATGGTAATAAATTGATTGATTTGAGAATCAGTAAAAAACATGGAATAGAAGAGAAACAGCTTGAAGATTATTTTCTAATTTGATAAAAAGCAGAGGCAAAAGCAAAGATGATTCAACACAAGTTTACTTTTCTGGTTCAATAACTCATTCTAGATCTGCTTCAACTGATATTCAACCCATTGACTCTAATTTTCCTCGAGATATTCATAAAGATAATGCTGTGATAATTAAATATCAGTATTAATATGATGATGATGATGATGATTTTATTAAAAACTCAGTTACTGAAAGAAAAAAATGAAGAAGATATGATCAATTTCGTAAAACTGATGATATTATCATCATCCCGAATGAAGAACCAGAACAAGCTGATTTATCAGATGATGAAGAAGGTTCTCAATCGTTTAATGATGAACTAACTTCAGATGATGAATCGTTCTTAAATGATGATGAGATGTTTGCAATACCCGGCTCTACTAACATTAATTATGATTCAAATCAGGATAATACAAATATGGACATAGACAATTTATGGATTTTTTTTTGGATCTTTAAATACCAAAAAAAGTTCAGACTTTCTGATATTGCAATCAACTTGTTGATAGGCTTTTTTAGCCTTGTTTTAAAAGATATTGACTTGAATCAGTTTAAAGATTTTCCTCCAACTGCTTATAAGGCTAAAAAGTTATTAGAAATCAAGAAACTAACAAAAACTTTCACAACATGTCCGCATTGTAATAAATTATACAATATTGATTCAATAATTCCAAAAAACCAAAATAATAATACAAATTCAGAGTTTAAATGTACCTATACTGAATTTCCTAACTATTTGATACAGAATCAACGAAAATCTTATAGAACAGAATTGCTAGTGAAGGTCCCAGTAAATTATGGATATATATAGCGTTTAAAGATAGTATATCCATTATCTTGTTTGAAAACTCAATTATCCGCAATGTATCAATGGCCAGGATTTGAGCAACTTTGAAAAAATAGACAAATCGGGATAGTTTAACTTGCACTATGTCAGATATTTATGATAGTAAAATATGAAAAGAATTTCCATTACACTTAGATATTCTGGATGCTCCCAAATTCTTTACTCCTGAAACAGCTGATTCGCATTTAGGAATTATGATAAATTTAGAATGGTTTCAGCCATTCGATTCATCAGTATATAGCAGTAGAGCTATTTACAGAGTGATTTACAACTTACCTCGTAATGTAAGATTCAAAAAAGAAAATATGCTGATACTAGGGTTACTACCAGGACCTTAGGAAGTAAAATTACATAAAATAAATCACTTTTTCGTGCTGATAGTAGATGATTTATTGGAATTTTGGAATAATAGTTTTAATTTACCCTGACTGAAAAGTATCTAATTGGCAAAAAAATTCGATTAGCAGTTATATGCTGCTCTAATGATATCCCAGCTGTAAGAAAACTGTGTAGCTATATCTCTGCATTAGTTGGATGCCATAGATGCTACAAAAGGGCAAGTAGTAATGAAGACAACCAAAGACCAAACTTTGGCGGATTCAATAATATGTCCGATTGGTTTATAATGAAAGATGTTAAAGAGTATCGAAAAAATGCTATGATTTGGAAACATCAACAAACAAAAGAGAATCGGAGAAATTATATCAATAGAACTCATGTTTAGTAGTCAGAAATGCTTCACTTGCCTTACTTTAATCTGATTAGATTTTTAGTTGTCGATCCAATGTACAATTTATTCTTAGGCATCGCTCATTGGATCATTAAAAGGCTTTGGATAGACAATGGAAAGATAACAAAACCCCATCTCAAGTTGATAGAGAAACAGGTAAAAATATTAAGTTGCCAGCTGATCTTGGAAGAATTTCACTTAAAATAGCGACTGGAAAAGGTTTTTCGGGTTTTACAGCCGATCAATGGAAATTTTTCATTATAATATATGCTATTCCATTGATGTGTGACATTTTGAATGATGAAGACCGAAAAATCTTGGCCAATTTTATAAGGGTCTGTTATCTTCTGGTATCTCGAATTATCGATGAAGATAAACTAAGTGAAGCATACAGTCGATTACTAGAGGTTGCTCGTTTAATTGAAGACAATTATAGATCGGCAATAATAACACTAAATATCCATTTGTCTCTTCATATTTCGGAATGTTGCTTAGATTATGGTCCTATATATTCATTCTGATGTTATTCGTTTAAACGAATGAATGGGATATTAGGTAATTTACTTATTACTAAATAATATATTTGAGACGAATACAAACTATTTTTTAAAAAAATAAGGTTCATTTCTGAATTCTCACCGTCAGATTAAATCAGAATTATTACGTATTATTATGTGAAACTGGCAGATAGATAACCTAATATCCTGTCATTTAAATAGTCCGAAGCTTACTGTAGGATTAGAATTAGTAAAATCCCGGCCAACAACAGGAAGTTTAGCAGCGTATGACAGCTTTCAAATTGACGAATTACACTGATTCATGTTAATTTATAGTCTTAAAGTTGAAGATACTATAACCAGTTGTGAATAGTTTCCTAGAGAGATGATGTTTCCAAAGAAGCTTGAAGTAAATCTGCTAGATGAGATTTATGACCTTTTAGTAGAATATTATAATAACGCCTATAACTTGGAATTTGTCACCATATCTGGATTGATAGAAAGCAGAAATAATCCAATTGTTGTACGATTTCAAGTAAATCAATTTAGACATATTCAAATTAGAGCCGAAATATTTGGATCGGTTAATATGCCCAATATATGAAAAATTCATTTATTCTTGCAAAGTTCGTACAAGCAAATGGTTTGATAGAAACATATCTGAATCAGGTCCAGTACTACTTCGAACATGAAGTCAATCTACTAAGAAAAAAGGAAATGCATAGATTGGCTTTCATAAAATGGTTTATGCTAGCTTTAAGCCATCAAACAAGATTTCACTTCCAGGTTAGTGACAATATTAAAAGTTGTAATGCGAAAATCTAGACGAAAAATTTTTATAATATCGGTAGAGACTGTATAATTACGGTGTATAATATATTTAGTCGATTTATACCAAGTAAATATGTAATCAGAAAAAAGAACCCAGTTATTTATATGATTGTTATTCCTATAGGAAGAAAATTCCATATGTAATAAATTTTATAAAAAAATCGCGATACAATATATACATAAATT